CATTTAAAGAGAAATTTTAGGGAAGAAGGAATAGATTTATTTTGAGTTACTGGGAAAGGTGGATGGGTAGACATTATGAAGAGGCTTATTTTGTTTTTATTTTTATTTATTTTATTTTAATGAAAGGCTTTTTAATAAGGAGAGGCATTGAAAATTGCACTGAATTGCTTTGTAAGTTAGTGAGCTCTCCATCACATGGAGGCTTAGGAGGCCTCCTGACTTGGCTGTAGGGTGGCCTAGATCAGCGGTCGCCAACTGGTGGTCCGCGGACCACTGGTGGTTCGTGAGGTCCGAAAGGTTGGTGACTGCTGGTTTAAGGAAACCTTTGGAGCAGCGGTTGCCAACCGGTGGTCCGCGGACCACTGGTGGTCTGTGAGGTCTGAAAGATTGGTGACCGCTGGCCTAGATGACAGTGTTCTCTTTTACCCTGCTGTCAGCTCAGATCAGGTAACTGGCTTAAAGGAAGATGACTTCACACTGAAATTTGCTGGGTGTTGGTAGCATGCCTAGGAACTTTCTTCCTGGAATTAGTCTGTTCTGACGAGCTATCATTCATTCATTTTGCAAATATTCATTGTGTGAGACATTGTATTTCTGGTCTTATTTTGTTGACATGAAAACAGATGTTGGAAATGAATTTGTATTTACTTGACATCATGGACTCCTTGGAGAAACCCAATGAATTACGTTTCATCATGGGAGACAGTTCTCCTTGGGAGTGTTGTGTTTGGGGAGTTCTTTTGAGCATAGCACTGAGTGCCCTTTGTTTTAGACTGTCTTGTCAGGGTGTTTGCTAGCAGGCATCCTTGGGAGATAGAATCTTGTCTTCTAGAGCAGAGGGCAGGCATGTTTGCCGTCCAGTCTGAAAGATTCGGCTTTCTAAGCTCAGGGTTCTCTCCAGTAGTTCACAGTGTGTGCAGGCATCCTTTTGGGCTTAACCCCCATGGGACTTGGGGGAACGGGCACTGAACAAATATGCTGGTGCTCATGCTACTTGCTGTGCTGTGAGTAATAAAGTCCTTAGTCTGACCCAGGAGTTTTGTGTCTTCTACCAGAATCCATAAAACCGTGGCAGGCTAGCTGTTAACTTGTAAGTAGGATAAAAATCTCAGGCTCTTCACAGTTCTTGACATTAAGGAAGAATGAAGTGAGAATCAGAGGTCAAATCTCATGCCCAGTGCCAAATGATCTAGTGCAGTGGTCGGCAAACTCATTAGTCAGCAGAGCCAAATAAAAACAGTACAATGACTGAAATGTCTTTTGAGAGCCAAATTTTTTAAACTTAAACTATATAGGTAGGTACATTGTTATTAACTTAATTAGGGTACTCCTAAGGCTTAGGACAGTGATGGCGAACCTTTTGAGCTCGGCGTGTCAGCATTTTGAAAAACCCTAACTTAACTCTGGTGCCGTGTCACATATAGAAATTTTTTGATATTTGCAACCATAGTAAAACAAAGACTTATATTTTTGATATTTATTTTATATATTTAAATGCCATTTAACAAAGAAAAATCAACCAAAAAAATGAGTTCGCGTGTCACCTCTGACATGCGTGTCATAGGTTCGCCATCACTGGCTTAGGAAGAGCCACACTCAAGGGGCCAAAGAGCCGCATGTGGCTCGCGAGCCGCAGTTTGCTGACCACGAATCTAGTGCTTGGGGGCATGAAATTTGAACCTGTGTTTCCAAAAGATGTTCTTCCCATTACATTGTGGAAAAATGCTACTGCCTTTACTGCTTCTCCTACTACTACCAGTACTATTGCTAGCAACAGCAACCGACATTGTTGAGTTCTAATGATGTGCCAGGCCTTGTTTGATCTCATTTAATTCTAACCAATAACCCTATAAGGAAGGTGTACTTACCATCTCCTTTTTATAGATTAGTAAAATGGGATAGGATTACCAAGGTTGCAGGGGCAGTAAGTGGTGGATTCCAACCCAGGCAGTTTGACTCCAGAGCTCATGACTCCGTAGCAGTTAGGAGCATAATTAGAAAACAGATCTACCTGGGTTTTGAATCCCTGTCCTGTTACTTCCCTTATTGTATGAGGTGGGGCAAACCTCTTCACATCTCAGCTACTACATCTGTAAAAAGGGGCGGGAGGATAGTCATAGGACCCACTCCAGGGCTGTGTGAAGATTAAACATACATTCTATCAAGTCTACAGCACAGCTGCTTCCTGGCAGCCACTAAGCCTCTCTAAATATTAGCGGCCATCATTATTATTTTTTATCCTTGCTGCCTTCCTTTCCTTTAATTAAATTTTTAAAAATAGTTTGTACTTTCAGAGTTCTCCAATATAAGTATTTTTTACTAAAGGAAAAATGTCATTCAGCCCAGTTTACATCAAGAGAAAGAATTTCCAATGTTGGGCAACCCTGGCACAGGCTGTTTTCCTTACATAAATATTTTCTCTAAAAATGAAAATAGCTGAAACCCCCAACAGACCAATTTACTTTTCAATCTTTACTTTAGTAACTCTTTGATTTTCCTAAATAACTCCTAATGCTCCAGTGATGTGTCGCAGGGACAGCTGATGCCCAGGATGAGGTCCTCTCTGGGCCTGACATTTTCCTTAGTGGTAACGCTGCTGCTTAATGTAAACAGTGTGAAATGTCTGGCATGTTTCCTTCCACAAACGCTGGTGGTGAGGAAGTCATGCACAGAGGTGTGGCTTTGACAATTCTGTGGCTGTTGGCTGTTACCAGGGGAAACATAGAGTTAAATATCTAGGGATCTTCTTCTTGGGACAATTGATAAATTGAAGGCATTTTCTGATTGTGCTTTACTTTTGATTAACAGCCTGGAAGGTTTCAGATTTAAAGAGCAAAGTTATATATCATAGAAGCAATAGGAAGACATCCTTAGCTACCCCCAAATAATGCAAGTGATTTTGGTAGCTCTTTCTTTGGAACCACATTCTCCCTAAATTCTCCGCTATGATTTATTTATTAGTCAAACACTTGCATGGTCTTCTCTACCTGAAAGTAACCTTGGTAAGTGTGGTGTAGGATCACCAGCTGACAGAGGACACAGACCTGGCATGGGAAAGGCCTTCCTTTAAGTCTTGGGGTTCACAGGGTGTTGATTTCCTGAGTGGACCCCACATTCCTTAGAGGCATCACCTTTTTCCTTCCTTACACTCTCCCCCCCACTCCCGATTTCATGCTAGATCAGATCTCTTGGCATCCGTAACACATTTACAAAATTGTTTCAGGAGGTTAGATTGAAGTCAAAGACTGGCCTGCTGATTCTCCCTCTGAATTGAAAAACAAGTTTTATGTATTATGTGGCTCGTGAATTAAGATCTTTTGGTCTAAGTGACAGTTTGGAGAAGTCTGTTGTACAGTATTTTGCTTGCAAATATCTAGGAGTGGATATGTGATTGATTTGCTGACAGACCATCTCTGAAAGCAGTTCTAATGATGGACTTATAATTGATTGCATCCATCATTGAGAGCCTAAAATACCCCTCCCTAAATTAAAAAAGATAAATGAAATAAATTATGCTGAATGTATAGGCTGACAAACCTGAGGGAATTTAATGAAACTCTAAATTACCACAGCCAACAGATAAGAGGAAAAGGTTTCTTTGTTGCTGATTATAACACTAAATTAAAAAAAAATTATCCAAGAAAAATAATAGAGGAAACAAAGGTCTGTGGCCCATGTATCAAACTAAAATTATTGAAAGATTTTTAATAAGTGTGTCTATCTCATCCCCTGGTTATTGTTGATTCATATCAATCTTGTTAGTGCTGATGGAAGAATAGCACATTCAGGGACTACCTTGTAGTGTAGCTCCTATTATTGCTGTCCTAACAGATTTTAGAATTAATATGACCCTATTTCCAGGCCACTGGGGGTTCTGTACCAAATTGAGGTCATTTAAATAAGCTATTTGGGCCCTTGCTGGTGTGGCTTAGTTGGTTGGAGCATTGTCTCAAGCACCAGAGTGTTGCAGGTTTAATTCCCCGTCAGGGCATATGCCCAGGTGTGGGTTTTTGATCCCTGCTCAGGGTGGGTACAGGAGGCAGCCCATTTATGTTTCTCTCTCCCTCCCTCCCTCTCCCTTTCTCTGTCTCTAAAATCAATAAGAACTTATCCTCGAGTGAGGATTAAAGAAAAGCTCTTTGGAAGGTGGCTTCTCAGTGTATGAGTGAATTTACCAGTTAGGACACTTTCCGCTCTATGTAAAAGACGACCAGCTGAAAGTGACCTAAACAGTGGGTAATTATCATCTCCCCTAGCAAGAAGTCCTGAGGCCAGGCAGCTGCAGGGTTGTCTGCTTTGGTGGCCAAAGACGTCATAGCACTAGCTTGGCATTTGTCTGAGCTTTCCGTCCATGGTTGTAAGATGGCTGAATTATTTGAGTATCTCAGCTTTGTGTCAGAGTATTCAGTGTTGGGAAAAGGGGCCTGCTTCCTTAATCTTACTTGCAAGTAAACTATACCTAGAAGTCCTTAGTCTCAGTGGCCCAACTTGTCACTGGGAAGGGAAATGGAATTACCAGGATACATTCAAACAAATCAAGACCTGCCCAGGGTCTTGCAGAGTTCATGCCGCCTATTATCTGATTACAGTTGGCATGCCAAGGAAAACCTGAACGGAAGGCCCCTTGGATAAGGCAACCAGCAAATCCATTTAGACGGGAACATTGGAATTTACTACGTAGGTGGTTTCCTATTTTCTTTTAGGAAATTGTTTCATTTCCTAGTTAGTGGGATGAATGGGCTAGCTTATTGACTAATTGGTCTTTTCTTTTTTTCTTCCAATTACAGCTTATATGCAATATTATTTTGTGTTAGTTTCAGGTGAACAACGTAAGTGGTTTGACAGTCATATACTTTATACAGTGTTCCCCCAATATTTCCAGTACCCACGTGGCACCATACATGGTTCTTACAATACTATTGACTCTATTTCCTATGCTGTACTTTTTTCCTTTTTGCTTTAAGTTTGACTCAGCTTGATATATTCTCTGTCTTTATCAGAACGCTGTCTACCAGTGATGATGTTGAAGACAGAGAAAATGAGAAGGGTCGCCTTGAAGAAGCCTATGAGAAATGTGATCGTGACCTGGATGAACTGATTGTGCAGCACTATACAGAATTGACGACAGCTATCCGCACATACCAGAGCATCACAGAGCGCATCACCAACTCCCGAAATAAAATAAAGCAGGTGAGCCTCCTTTCCTCTTGTCTGGTGATTGCAGTACCTTCACATTCGTCCAGGTGTTATAGCTGGGGGAGAGGAGCTGTGTAGTGGCCCATGGCCTTAACCTTGGGGTTCCTGGGGTTCCAGTGATTCCTAAAGGTGCTTTCAGGAGTTATGAGATGCATATGCTGGAAAGCCGGAGGGTCACAGAGGGCATCTGGGATTTGCTTCTTCCTTCTCCTATGTCAGTGATGGCGAACCTTTTGAGCTCGGTGTGTCAGCATTTTGAAAAACCCTAACTTAACTCTGGTGCTGTGTCACATATAGAAATTTTTTTGATATTTGCAACCATAGTAAAACAAAGACTTATATTTTTGATGTTTATTTTATATATTTAAATGCCATTTAACAAAGAAAAATCAACCAAAAAAATGAGTTCTTGTGTCACCTCTGACATGCGTGTCAGAGGTTCGCCATCACTGGCTAGGGCCTCTTACTATTTGAGGCTCCCATCACAGAGTATCAAATGTATTTAATGTGCTCATATCACACATTGCGTGTGTGTGTGTGTGTGTGTGTGTGTGTGTGTGTGTTGTAGTGGTTGACTTATTTTAAATAAAAATTTTACCTTTGAGTATGTCACCTAATTTGAAGTTGGTTGTGATTTCTCTGCAGTCATTGTACATTCTTTGTCATGTTTGTGAAGAAAATCTAACATAAATTACTTAAGCATAAAAGAAATATTTATGAATACCAAAATTCTCTAATATAATTCTTAGTAGTGACAAGTATGTATTAATTTCTGTTTTGTAATTTTCTTTTCATATTTTGGAGGTTTTTTTTTTTTTACTTTTTCTTTCACTCTCTTTCTCCCCTTTGTTTTCCTCCCCTTCTTCTCTCTTCCCTCTTTCTGCCCCTTTTCTTCTTTCCTCCACCTCTCCTTCCCCACCTCCTTCCTTTTGTAGTAGGTGCATGAAAAGCTCTTGGGGTTCCTGGGTACCATGTCTCTAGTACCTAAGGGATAGAGTGGGTTCATAAGGGGTAATTTTATATTTGGCTAAGGCATCGGTTCTTAACCTGTGGGTCGCGACCCCTTTGGGGGTCAAATGACCCTTTCACAGGGGTCGCCTAAGACCATCGGAAAACACATATATAATTACATATTGTTTTTGTGGTTAATCACTATGCTTTAATTATGTTCAATTTGTAACAATGAAATTGGGGGTCACCACAACATGAGGAACTGTATTAAAGGGTCACGGCATTAGGAAGGTTGAGAACCACTGGGCTAAGGAGTAAACTGATAACTAAATGTTGTGTTTTGTCACATTATAGTTATGTGGTTCTTGGTTGTGTATTTTAAGGGTCACTCCTTTAATACCTCTTACTATTACTCATTGATGGATAATCATTTCTACCACTTATTGAGCACTGATTCCTTGCTAGGCATGGTGGTATATATTCCTATTTCAACAAATTTAGAATTTGAACTTGCGTCTCCCTAACTCTAAGCCCTTGCTGCTGGTTTTCAGACATTTTTAAAATGAGATATTTGCCAGAACCCCAGCATACAAACATTCAGGGAGGTGGTGCTCTCTTTTTGATGTGGGTGTGAAAGGTCTGGAGCTCAGGCTTGGTCTCCTCTTCCATAGTTGGTGGCTGCCTCTAAGCACCTCTGTGGGCTGAGGGCTGAGTAGACCATTTGAAATGTACTGCTCCGTGCCATTTGATTGAGGTGGGACTCTCTGGACTCTACCTGCTCAATTGTAGCTGAGCTCATGGCATTCTCACAGGTTTTCTTCCCTGTCTTCTAGACCTTATATCATGCTTTTGTAAGCAGATGCATAAACTATTCTTCTAAGACTGGTGTTCATATGTTTCAGCCTCTAAGAGTAGAGTTGCCAAATCAGTAAGCCCTTTGAAGCAATATGATGACCTCTTTATATTTTAAAATTAACTGGGTATTTTAGAAAGGAATACTGTAATTCTTGGCCTTTACAAGTGGTGAGTTCATCCTGTGGATTTATCTGTGAAACTAGGTAAAGGTATAGATCAGTTGCTCTAGATTTAAAATAAACTGTAGTCCATTTTGACCCAATAATATCAAATCGGCAACCTTTTGGTACATGGGATGATGCCCAACCAACTGACCCATACCAGCCATCCTCTTTTTTAGGTATGGTGGAGTTTGAGGCAAAAGAAAACCAAGAGAGAAAATGTTGTGTGTATTATATCAGTTGTCAAGAAAAAGAAAGTCACATAATTCTGTGTTATGAATTAGCCTCAATACTGGAAAGAAAGAGCAAGAAAGGGCTAAAGCTCTTTTCAGAAAGTCTTTAATAATTGATAAATGGGAGAAGAAACATGTTGGGAAAAAATGAAAGTGAACTTATTTTCATTTTATAATCTGACAATTTTGTACTGTGAAAGGGCATTTCTTATCACCATGGAAACATTGATGTTTCCTCACCAATCTTTCCCTGTCATTCCTTTTTCATTTAAAGACTTGTCCTTTTTTAAAAAAAAGTCTTTATTGTTGAAAGTATTACATATGTCTCCTTTTCCCCCCACTCACCTCTCCCAGCCCATCATTGACTTCCCCTCTACCCTGCACCTGCTCTCTCCCTCCCCTCAGGCCTTCACTGCACTATTGTCTGTGTCAACCAAATTCTTTGGTTAACCTATTCTGCCCCCGCTCCCGCCTTGCCTTTGAGATTTGACAGTCTGTCATGTCTGGTTCTGTTTTAGGTCCTAACAGTGGAAAACACCAGTCCCCATCCTCATGGAGCTTACATGCTAATGGGAGGAGATAGGAAAACAAACAAATGATGCTACTTAACAACACTGCCTCTGTATATTAAATGTCTGTTTTGTGCTGGGCATGCCTCTGTATATTAAATGTCTGTTTTGTGCTGGGCATTAGCTGAGCTCTGGGGTAGAAGTGAATAACACAGATAAAAATCTTGTCCTCATGGAGTTCGCATTCTAGTCAGGGGAGAAGACTGTACATTTAATAAATAATTAGATATCGTAAAACATATTAAGAGTGATGTGCCAGCCGAAACCAGTTTGGCTCAATGGATAGAGTGTGGCCTGGGGACTGAAAGGTCCCAGGTCAA